TTATATATTATATGTTGAAATAATATTTTTGGTTACTTAAAAAATTAATAAAAATGTCGCCGATTTCTTTTTACGTTTTCAATGTGGCTACTAGAAAATTTACAATCATCTGTGGTTTGCACTGTATTTCTATGGGAAAGTGCTGCTCTAGAATGACTTCAGGGATGAGCTCATTCTGAGCTTCATATGTACATAATATTTACATAATTTACACAAAATCCTGGATCTCTGTAGTGTCACTAAAATGGTTTCATTTCTCTCTCTCTTTTTTTTAATCTTACCTACTTGCAAGCTATGTTTCTTTTTCGTATCGCAATCCCTTTCCCCTTGTCTTGTCCTGGGCTCCTTCTGAAAACCTCAAGTAGGATTCAGTTTCTCTCTTGTTAAGAATTTCTCCACTTCCACCTCCCAGGGCAGGCGGGAGAGGACACTCCACGGTTTACGTAGCCCCCTCACTCCAGGAGTTACTAGACCAGAACGAAGAGAATTTGGCATATTCATTTCTAAATTTCTAACCAGTTAAGGTACCAAAACCACAATTTGCAGGATCAACCTACCGCTCTCCCTACCCTCTGCCCCTGTCTCATGACGTCCGTGCCCCTATCGTCAAATCCAGGACACAGCGAGTCTCACGAACCGGACGGAGGCGGAAGTGCACCTACGGATGCCCGGCCCGCCGTTCTCACGCTCTCATCGCCTCTCTGGTGAAACGTGATGGGATTCTCGGCTCACCTGAATCCCTCACAACCATCCCTTATCTGAAGGCTCAGTGTTCTTACTCCTAATCTTGGTCCCTGCTAGACCCTCCCTTCGGCGGCCTGATGAACAGCAAGGGGTAGGTAGCCTTCTGCTAGGGGATACGGACTTTTTCCTTTTTCTCTGCCTGGCCTGCCTCTGCGTGTCCGTGGGTATAAGGGACGCCGAGCTCCTCCCTCCGAAGACCCTTGGATACTTCTTTGTCTTCTGGGTTCTCCAAGGTCGGGGTAGCTGTTCCTCCACCTGCTCCCACCCCCAGCACGAGTGAGAAGACTCCTCGCAGATCCTCAAGCCACACAGACACCCCCACGCCGGCTCTCGCGCCGCCTCCCCGGACGGGAAGCACCTGCCGGGCCGCGCTCACCTGGATCGTCCTCGTCGCGGGGAACCTTCTTGAAGCAGTCGTTGAGCGACAGGTTGTGGCGGATAGAGTTCTGCCAGCCGGCCTTGCTGCGCTGGTAGAAGGGGAAGCTGTCGGCCACGAACTGGTAGATGTGGCTGAGCGTGAGCTTGCGCTCGGGCGCGCTCTGGATGGCCATGGCGATGAGCGCCGAGTACGAGTAGGGCGGCCGCACCATCTTCATCAGGTCCTCGCGGCTGGCCATCGACAGCCAGCCCAGCTCGCCCGGCGCTGCGGACCCGGCGGGCGAGGCGGGCGTGGCGGGCGCCGGCTGCGCGAAGGGCCGCTGCGCGCAGCCGAAGGTGCCAGCGGCGGGCGGCGGCTGCAGGAAGGGCCCGGCTGCGGCCCCGGGGGG